TTGGGGAGCTGGTGAGTGCTGCCACATCCCTTCATCCCTGGAGCCCCAGGAGCTGGTTTTTTTCCCCTGCTGACACCCTCCTGCCTGTCCCCTGCAGCTGATGCACCCAGTGCTGGAGTCCCTGCGCAGCACGGACCGGCAGTGGCTCATTGACACCCTCTTCGCCTTCAACAGCGGCAATGTGGAGACCTTTCAGGCCCTCAAGTCAGCCTGGGGGCAGCAGGTGAGGGCTCTGGGACTGCTAAAGGCTCAGGCTTGGGATTTCCACCTGACACTTGGAGTCTGTGGACTTTTTCTTAATCACCTCTGCCTCATTCCTGGCTCTGGAGCACTGGTACAATTCTGTTCGGAGCCTAGGAGTGGTTATTCCATCTTGATACACATAATTAGTTTTCTTTTGACTTCTCTTTGGAGTGCTTCCAGTGGAAAACAGTGGTTTTCCTTCCTGTTCTGGGAAGTGTGGGGGGAAACAGTGATGTTGGATGTTACCTGCGCTGGCAACACCAGGAATCACTGGCATAGCAATGGATTTGTGAGTTCACTGGCACTTGGATTGTTTTCTGGGACCATTCTTGGCTGGTGGGTGGGCTGTGGTAGCCTTCTTCCTCTTAAATAAACTCTCCCAGGGATTTATTCCTCTATGTAAAGCTGTTCTGCCCCAGGATGGGGAGAAAAATGTAATCTTGACCTGATTTGGTGCCTTTTCTCTCCTCACAGCCTGACCTGGCTGCAAACGAAGCACTCCTGCTGCAGAAGATCCAGCTATTGTGTCTCATGGAGGTGAGTTGGGATGTGCTCAGTGTGTCTGGTCACTCACCTGCAGGAACTCCTGGATACAGGAATTTCAGTGTGGATTTGAGCTGGTGATGGAGGCACAGGCAGGTGCCATGAGGGAAAACACCTCATGCTGGGCTGCTTGTCCCTAGGTTTGGGAGGGCTCTTGCATGGAGTGCCAGGACAAGGGGGAATGGCTTCTCTAACAGAAAGTTAGGTGGGATATTAGGAAGAATATCTTCCCTGTGGGGGTGGTCAGGCCTTGGCACAGGTTGCCCAGAGAAGCTGTGGCTGCCCCATCCCTGGAAGTGTCCAAGGCCAGGTTGGACAGAGCTTGGAGCAACCTGAGATAGTGGAAGATGTTAATTCTGTGATGTGGAGGAGGGGAAGAGCAATCCTTCAGGGATGGTGTCTGCAGTATGTTCCAGGATGAGAAAAGACTTTTAGAACAGAGTTCAACACCTTTGTTTCCCTGAGGGACTGAGGGTCCTTTCCCTGATGGATAATCTGAAACAGTCCCTTCCTGTCACTGGAAGGCTCTGCTGTCACCATACTAGTGTAAAACATTCTTGTTTGAATTACTTTGATAAACATGAGAAATGCAGTTTCCAGTGCAGAGTGAGACTGGGCAGGGCAGCTTGGGGGAGGCTCTGTGAGCTGTGGGAATCCCTAAAACCCTGTGGGGGTTGTTTTTTTTTTGGTTTGTTCCCTGGATCCAGATGACTTTCACCCGTCCAGCCAACCACCGCCAGCTCACCTTTGAGGAGATTGCCAAGAGTGCCAAAGTCACCGTCAACGAGGTGAGTTTGGGGTTAGGCACCCTTGGTAATGTCCAGATTCTGGAGCTCTGAGAGTGCCTGGGTAGACCTGAACCACACAGAATCCCAGAATCATTTAGGCTGAAAAAAAGCTCTGATATAATCTAGTCCAGCCTGTGCCCAGAGCACTGAATGCCACATCCAGTCATTCCTTGGGCACCTCTAGGGATGGGGACTTCAACACCTCCCTGGGCAGCCCCTTCCAGTGCCTGACAGCCCTTCCCATTAAAAAATTATTCCTGATTTTCAACCTGAACCTCCCCTGGTGCAGCTTGAGGCTGTTTCCTCTTGTCCTGTCACTTGGTCCCTGGGAGAAGAGACCAGCTCCCACCTGCTGCCTGGGGACAGTTGGGCTCTTCTGGCTTTTTCCAATTGCCTTGTTCTTCCTTAGATTTCAGAGAAAAGAAAATAACTCTAGGTTTTTTTAGGGGAAAAAGAACTAAAAAAACCCTAAAATCCAGTTTTAGGGAGAAGAACTCCTCTTTGCCAAGGTGCTGAGTCCCAAGGCAGATCTGTCACCTGAAAGGGGACAGCTGGGAGAGCTGCTGCCCTGGATTCTGAGGGGATCTCATGTGAAGATGCCAAGTTTTATTAATCTCAGGGAAAATGGGGTGGTCTGGGTCATTTCCCAGGATTATCTGTGTCCCCAGGTGGAGCTGCTGGTGATGAAGGCGCTCTCGGTGGGGCTGGTGAAGGGCAGCATCGACGAGGTGGACAAGAGGGTGCACATGACGTGGGTGCAGCCACGGGTGCTGGACCTGCAGCAGGTAATGGCCACCAGATCCAGCTGGGTCAGGGAGAGGTGACCTGGGAGTGACACCAGAGCCAGGATGAGTCATGGCTTGGGAATGAGCCTCCCTGGGGGCTTGGCTTTGCCCCCGATGTTTCACCCAGAAACCTTCCAGGAGGTGGGACAGGACAGGGCTGGCACATCAGTCCCTTGTGAAAGCCACACAAACACCATGGAACACAGAAGCCATGGTTGTGTTTTCTAGAAGGATCCAGGCCTCATTCCCAAATGCATGAAACAACCTCTGGGAGTTTCAGGGGTGTGGGAGGCACAGTCCTCTTGGGAAGAGAGAAGGCCAAGGTATAATGGAGCTGTTGAGTTTCTCAAGTTCATCCTTGTAACACTTAAGGAGACTGTGCAGGGTGTCTTTACCTTCAAACCCAAAAATCAGTGTCTGGAATTCCAGCTGCAGACAATTCCTTTGGTGCATTTCAGTTTAGGCCAGCTGGTAGAAGCTGTTAATCCCAGAATCCCAGGATGGTTTGGGTTGGGAGGGACCTTAAAGCCCATCCATGGGCAGGGACACCTTCCACTAGAGCAAGTTGTTCAAGCCCCATCCAACCCGGCCTGAAACACTTCCTGGGATGGGGCATCTCCCTGTCTCAGTGTGTGGGGCTCTGAGGGATGGTTTGAGCTCTCAGGTGTGGGAAGGAGCCTGTGGGCATTCCCAGGAACTGAGGCACTCTGTCCCTGTGGCCTTGCCTTGCAGATCAAAGGGATGAAGGATCGCCTGGAGTTCTGGTGCACAGACGTGCGGAGCATGGAAATGCTGGTGGAGCACCAAGCCCACGACATCCTGACATAGAGGAGAGAGTGATTCCTGCTGCTCCTGAGGCCAGCAGCACTCAGAGCACTGACTGTACTGAATCCATGGAGGGGTGGGTGGGCAGAGCAGGAGGACGAGGACGTGGCCTTTCGCTGTGTGACCCTTTGGTGCTCGAGCCAAGCTTTCCCTCTGCTGGCACGGGTGACTCTGATCCCTGATCCCAGAGCTGCGTCCTGGGGGGATGGATCATTCCTGATCCCTCCTGCCTCCAGCTGCTGTAGGAGGGTGGGATCCTAGTGCAGGATCCAAGGGGCCTTGGCCTTAGGGGACACAGCCTGTCCTGCTGCCCTCTCCCCCTGCCCCTGCAGCAGCCTGAGGCAGCATTCCCCAAATCCTCTTCCTCCCCTAGCCCTGCTTCCCTCTGCCCCTCCTCATCTGCAGCAGAGGCAGTGTTTGCTCCATCCAAGGGTTTTCCCGGGATTCCTGGTTAGTGGGTGTGTCCATACACTTGAGGGGGTGGGTGTCTTTCACCAACGCTTTGTGCCCAAGTGAGGTGCAGTGGCATTGCCGGAATAAACGTCTCTGCCTTCCCTTTTTGGGAATTCTGTGTCATCTCCGTCCCTGGCAGCTGAGCTGATGACAATTCCTTTAAAAACGTGTTTCCAGGGTCAGGCCTTGCCACTCCTGGGATTCAGGAGCTTTCCTCACCAGTTTGGTTCTCTGGTGTCATTAGCAAATGTCACTGCTGGAATTTTTGTACTTTTCCTGCTTTTCCTGCCTTGACTGAGGGTGTTAATCCAGCAAGAAAAAGAAGGGAGCATGTGGCTGATGCCAGACTGGTGCAGAGATGCCTCACACAAAGGAGACAGACTTTGAAAAACAGGACAAAATGGAATTGCTGGAGTCTGTACCTGCTCACCCTCCTCCTGCTGCTCTCCAGGCCCTTCTGGCTGAAATTCCCTCCTGGATGGGGAGGGGTTGTTCTGTGCCCAGTGCCTGCCTCTTCCTTGCCCAGCCACTTGATTTGACTTGACCAATTCCTGCTGCATCCTGTCTTCCAAGGCTTACTCCTGGTGCCACTTTAGTGACTTCAGGAAAGCGTATGGAAGAAGTAGGTGTTCCAATCAGGAAAATATTCCCATTATTTCATAGGTAAGGACAGGAGAAGCTTTAAAGGAGCAGAGTCTCCTTCCCAGTGCCATGTCAGATCTCATCCTCATTCCCAGGGCTGTCACTACACTTAGGAAACAAAGGAAACTCCACTGGAGTCACTGAGTTGTGGGGCTGCTGCTGCTTGAGATCAGCATCCAAAATCTGGAATATCACTGTGGGAAGCAGTACCAGCTTCTCTCAGGAGCACATCTCCCGTGCTGTGGGAGCACTCCCCTGGCCGTGAAGCTCTGAGCAGCTCCTGGGAATGAGGGTCAGATCTGCAGAACTGTGACAGCTCCAGAGGCTTTTCCAAGACACCTGGAAGTACCCCTCGCTACCCAAACCTTCCACGTGCTGGGTGCTTCCCTGGCACAGGTCATTTGGGATGTGGTGGCTGGAGAGGCCCTTCCTACAGGGCAGGGAGTGGGCAGGCGTGCAGCCCGCAGCCTGTGGCACCCTTTTAATGTCACTCCCAGCCTTTGGGTGTTTTCCTGCCGGGAATTTACCTTGGAATGGCTTCCTTGCTTGTGCTGGGAGAGGTGCCTGGGTGCACGCAGTGCTGCAGCTAGTGGAGGCTCCAGAGGGAATGTGCCTTCCCATTGGGACCTGCTGGCAGCCCTTGAGGGAATGCTGCCATCAGGGCAGCAGGCACAGGTCCGGTTCGTTCCCTACAGGACGGAGCAAGCCCAGTGAGGCCTTGTTGAATGCAAAGATGGATTTTAATGAGCAGGCTCGGGGGGTTCCATGGTGAGGCTCTGCCCGAGGGAAGAGCCCTTGGGATGCTCTCAGCAGGGAGCAGGCTGCTCCTGCCACTCCTCACTCAGGCCTGCTCCTGTAGTTGTAGATGTTGCTCAGGACCCAGGCTGTGGGCACCAGGAAGGACGTGAACATCAGGGTGAGGGCGATGGCTTGTTCCTGAGGGGGACAAGGAGCAGGAATCAGTGGGATGGCTCACAGGGCTCCCGGGATGGCTGCGCTGCTGCCGTCCAACCCGGCACCCAGCTCACTTCCCTGTGCTCTTCCCAGTCCTTGGCACTTGCCCTGGGGCTGTGGGGAGAGGTTTGGGGAGCAGAGCTGTTCCCACTGGCAGTGGATGGAGCTGGTGCTCTCCAGGTTTGTTGCTCCTCCGGGACACTGGAGCAGTGTTTGACCTTGAAGCTGTGGCTGGGGCCTGCAGTGTTCCTGACTTTCAGGTGACTTTGGGATGGGAATTGCAGCCAGCAGCAGCCCCTCATTTCCCCAGTACAACCAGGACAGCGTTAACCTCCCACACTGGCACCTTCCTTTGATTTATTTGCCTGGAAAAAGCCTCTCCCAGGCTCCTGCAGCTCCTCTGTTGAAGACCTTGGAAAGGCAGCAGAGGGAAAACCCCAAATTAAGGGGTGGAGGGGGAATCAGGCATAATTTTGGGGGAAAACTTCTTTTTCCCAGCTTGTTTTACCTAGCCTGGGAGGGTCTGGTTTGGGGGGGACTGTCCCCGCAGGGGGAATGTCAGAGGGATCTTGGGCTCTGCAGTGACAGCAGCTCCTGTCCTTGCCTGTGGGGACACCCCTTTGGGGTGATGGTCCCAGAATAGGGGCCGAGGTCTGGGTGTGGCCCTGAGGGACCACCAGTGTCACTGCTGTCCCTTGCCCTGGGCTGCAGGGACCCCCAGACCTCAAAGGTTTAAAAAAGGGCTGAAAGGACAAAATCAAATGGAAGCAGGAGCCGGTGAAGGGGGGGAGCAGGACATGGACACCGTGGGGGTGTGGGCTGGAACCTGAGGGTGCATTCCTTCTTTTCCTCCCCCTCCCCTTTTGCTTCCACCCCCTTCCAAAACAGTTTGGCCCAGGCACACAGAATGTTTGGGCCCCTCCAACTGGGCTTTTCCCACTTTTTCAGCCCCCCAGGATACTCACACCAGTGGAGAGTATGTTCTCGGGGGGGTGGGAGCGGAGCTGTGCCCGGGGGACCCGGCTGATCCGGAGTGCAGCTGCCAGGAGCTGGGAGCCCCTCTGGAAACCCCTCATGGCGCTCTCAGGGTGATCCCGCTGCTCCTCGCTCTGCAGCTGCCCAGTTTGTCACTGTCACTGCCGCCACCACCCCCTGCCACTCCTTGGCACAGCTCCAGGGGCACAGGGAGGAACAGCCTGACAGGTTTTCTCAAATTGCTCTCTGCTTAATTTTATTTTCCTTAATTGTTTTGGGATTTTTTTTTTCCCCCTCAGCACTGCCCAGGGGTCTGAGACTAAAAACTGTCCCCAGCCAGTGCAGGGGGGCACTGAGATGTTCTGCTGGAGAGCAGAGACCTCCTCTTGGATGGGGCCTTTTCCCTTAGAGCAAAACTTTTCCTTTGGAGCAGAGCTTCTCTCTCCTTGAGCTCCTCCTCTTCTGTGGGCTTTTATAAACTTTATAACACTCAAAGCACCATTCAGCGGGAAGGGACTTTCTGGAAAGGGCTATTTCCAAATTCCTCTGATAAAGGGAAGGAAATAGGATGGATGCCTGCCACTGGGATCAGCTGGGGAAGAAACTGCTTGTCCCAGTGTGCTGGTGGTTGCTGGAGGGGGATTCCAATGCCCCAGAATCCCCATGGATGCCCGCTCTCCAGAGGATGGATATTCCTGCCCATGTCATGGACTCTGCCTGTGCTAGAATCAGCAGCTGGTTGTGAGAAACAAACCAAAGGGGAAATGAATCCTGCTGGGGCCCAGCTGGGATTAGACCCTGGAATACCAAAGGAGTAGAGGGGGGAGTGTTACTGCTGAGCTCTGCCCTTTGTCAGGGTGTCCCCAAGGTGTCCCTGGGGCATTGGCAGCTGCAGGACTGACCCAGCCAGGCTCCATGGGGGCTTTTCCATGGATTTACAGTGCGGGACAGATGTGTTATGCCAATCCTCTAAATGCTGGATCAGGCAATAAAATAATCCCGGTGAACACCGGGGCCGGTGGCTTGGAGCACCCAGTGGCACCTGGCTGCAGCTCCAGCCCTGGTTCCCTGACCCACCAGGATGGGACCAGCTGGAAGTGGCTTGGAAAGGCATGCCAGAGCCAAAGTCCAGATGGAATTTTTGTCCTCCCTGGAAAGAGGCGAGGGGAAGGGTCAGAGCGTGGCTGGGGCCACGGGAGGTCAGTGGGGTGCGCTGGCTCCCTGCCAGCGGCTTTGGGAATATAACTCATCCAGCTTGGTCTTCCTCTTTCAGTTCCTCCTTCCCAGGCACAGGGCAGCCCCGGGACTGCCGCGGGCACTCAGCTCAGCTGGGCAAACACCTGCGTGTCCAGGATCATTTTTCCAACTTTTTCTTTTTAAGGAGACGAAAGAAAAAAAGCGATTTCCTTCCTTCTTTCTCGGTTGGGCAACTTCCGTCCTTCCCTGGAGCAGCCTCCCTCCGCCTGCTCAGGCTCAGCCCGGCCTCGGGACAGAAGGCAAGATCCACTTCCTCCCTTCCTCACCCCGGGGCTTGGGGCTGGGTCGGGATTTCTCACTTTCCCGAAGGCAGGATTTTCCTCACAGCTCAGTCTCGGTGAGGAAACAGAGCTGAGCTTGAGCGTTCCTGCATCCGGCTGCTGCCAGGGAGGGATTTAGGGGCTGGGCACCCTGTTTGTCCCTGTGTCACCCCGGCTGGATTGGCAGCTCTGCTCACAGTCTCTCAGAGCCTCATTTCGTCATTCCTGTGTTTTTCCTGTGCCCGGCATTGCCAGGAGCCAGCTGCAGCTGCCTTTTGTCAGGAGGTGCTTACACGTGTCTGTATCTGTAAATTTCTTTAGTCTGTCATTACATATATGTTTGTACATGACACAAAAATATAGTTTTATGTATGAAAAGCAGAATAGAAAGGTCCTGCCCCAGGAGGCTGAGCTGGAGATGTGGGATTGAGGGGGAACAGAGGGGTGCAGTGAGCTGGGAGAGGGGGAAGTATCAGGAACTTTTCAAAGTGTCACGGAACAGCACTGGGAGGAAGAGGAGGCCATGGGGAAGGTGGCTCTGTATGTGTTGGGAGAAACTGGTGCAACCCTATCCCGCAGCAGAAGAGGAAGAGGGAGGAGGATGAGAAGTGATGAAGCCTGTGAGCTGTCAGGATTTGGGACAGCTGGAGATGGGGTGAAGGGGCGGAGGGGATGCACCCCGGGGCTGGGAGGAAACTGGGATGGGGGAAAACCGCTGGAGGTGACCAGAGGGGACGCTAAAAGGGGCAGAGAGCAGGCGGGGGAGTGACAGGGAGCTGACTTTGTCCCCTCAGCCCTCATCCCACCCCTGCGGCTCCGCGGGTGGGGCCGGTGGCGATGGCCGATGGCGAGGGCGACCCCGGCGTGTTCACGGCCACGGCCCTGCCCGGGGACCCTCGGCTGCTGCCCACGGTGACCAACGCCTTCTTGGGCACCCGCGTGTTCCGGGACATCCTGCACGCTGCCGGCGTGTACAGCGGGGCCGCGGGGGACACGCACCGCGCCGACCTCCCCAGCCCGCTGGGGCTGCGCCTGGCAGCGCCCGGCGCCCGCAGCCCGGCCGAGAGCTTCACCCTCAACACCTGGACAGGTGAGCAGGAGCCGGCACCTGTCCTGTGGGCTCTGCCAGAGGCTCGGTTCTCTCTGCTTCTGCTGCCTCTTCCACTCAGTCACATCTTCCTTCTCCTCATTCTCTGTTTGCCTCGGTGCTGCTCCTCTGGAACAAGCAGAAAATCCCCCTTTTGTGTGGGAATAAGTGATTTTAAGGCTGTAGCTCTTTCTCTGCTGGGGCCAGGTTTCACACTCTTTAATCACAGAGCCTGGTAAAATGTTTAATGGCACAGACCATCCCTCAGCAGCTCAGCCAGACTCGCTGTCAGTGGTGTTCTCCAGGCCACAACTGGATCTGATCTTGGGAAAAGCAATTCCTTGGCCAGCAGGAAGCAGTAGATAGGGCAGAATCCAAGTGTTTCCAAAGGCTGGTGGCTCTGGCTGTGCTTGCAGGGACCTTCAGCCATACGATTCAGTCCCCTGGCTACACGGCCACCCACCAGCTCTACGCCCACCACTCCCTGGTGCACCTGATGGCCTTCAGCATCACCATCCGGCGCTTGGATGGCTCCACGCATCCCATCACCGTCCAGCTCCAGAGCCTGTTCGTGCCACAGAGCCAGGACCTGCACTTGACCCCAGGCCCAGACTTCCAGGGAGCGCAGTGAGTGTGGGGAATGGGGGTCCTGGCCCTGAACCCACCCTGTGCGGGCTGTGGCGCAGTGCCCTGCTCTCCCCTGGGGAATAAACTGCAGTTGTAAGGCTGGAGTGGGGCTGGAATGGTGAGGGGCATGGGGCTGGAATGGTGAGGGGCGTGGGGCTGGAATGGTGAGGGGTGTAAAGGCTTCTGCACACCTGCTTTGTCCTGGCAGGTGTCTAAAAAGACCCCTGAAATTAAGCATAGAAAACATTTTTATTACTTGCAACTGCAGAATTAAGCCTCACACTGACGTGTGAGAACAGTGAATGTGATGGAGGCTAGATGTGATTCCAAAGTGAGGTTGGGGAAAACAGGAGATTTGGAGATGACCCCTAGAACAGGATTCCTGGGACCAGAGACCATTTGTGATGGCTTCCCACTATCAGAGGGTAGGGTTAGATGGGATATTGGGAAGAAGCACTTTCCTCAGTCACTTCCCCATCTCCCACAGCTACATCTACGGGCAGACACTGGTTCCCGAGGTGGAGGGGGGCCCCCGTCCCACTGTCCACATGCTGTGGACCCCCATCCCGCAGTGGCTGACGCTGGGCGGGGAGGAGCAGGAGCGGTGCTGGCAGTTCCTGACGGCCGTGGCCGGGAGTGAGGAGGAGGCAAAGCACAGCTACAGCGTGGGGCTGGCCCTGCTGGCCGCGGGGTCCCTGCACCACTCCCACGTCCGCGCCTGGGCCGCGCTGCGCCGGGGCTGCTCCGTGGAGCTGGACGGGCCCCCGGCCCTGCGCCAGGCGCTCCATGGCTGCCTCTACTACCTGCTGAGCGCCGTCCCGCCCCGGGACTGCCCCGGAGTCCCGTTCCACGGCATCAGCCCCGGCGGCTTGTCCAATGGCACCCGCGGCGAGGACTACTGGGGACACGTCTTCTGGGACCAGGTGAAGGAGGCTGTGCTGACCCGGGGGCTTGGCACGGCGAGTGGGATGGAGGACACTCCACCCTTCCATTGGGATGGAGCAGACTATCCTTCAGTAGTCTGAAGGAAAGATGGAGCCTTCTCCATCCTTCCACTGGGATGCAGCAGGCTGTCCTTCAATAGGGATGGACAAGACTCCATCCTTCCATCGGGATGAGGGTGTACTTGAAGGGTGGAGCTGGCGGGAGCATTTGGCTGCTTTCCCCCAGCCAATCCCGCCGCGCGGCCTCGCAGGACACCTGGATGTTCCCGAATATCCTGCTGCTGTATCCCGAGGCTGCCCGCGCCATCCTGCAGTACCGCGTCCGCACGCTGGAGGGCGCCAGGCGCAATGCGCAGGAACAAGGCTACGAGGTGGCACCGGGACACCGGGATGGGGTGGCACCGGGACACTGCGATGGGGTGGCACCGGGACACCGCGATGGGGTGGCACCGGGACACCGCGATGGGGTGGCACCGGGACCCCGGGATGGGGTGGCACCGGGACCCCGGGATGGGGTGGCACCGGGACACCGCGATGGGGTGGCACCGGCCCCTGTCCCCAGGGAAATCCCGGGCTGGGGTGGCAGCAGCCCCTGTCCCCAAAGCAATCCCGGGCTGGGGTGGCAGCAGCTCCTGTCCCCAGGGCAATCCCGGGCTGGGGTGGCAGCAGCCCCTGTCCCCAGGGCAATCCCGGACTGGGTTGGCACCGCTCCCTGTCCCCAGGGCAATGCCTGGCTGGGGTGGCACCGGCCCCTGTCCCCAGGGCAATGCCTGGCTAGGGTGGCACCAGCCCCTGTCCCCAGGGCAATGCCTGGCTGGGGTGGCACCGGCCCCTGTCCCCAGGGCAATCCCGGGCTGTTTCAGCAGGGCACAGCTCCAGGTGATGTGCTCATGGATGCCTTCTCTCGGCAGGGCGCGAAGTTCCCGTGGGAGAGCGCAGCCACTGGCCGGGAAGTGTGTCCTGAGGAGATCTACGGAGCCCAGGAAATCCATGTTACCGGGGATGTCCTGATGGCCTTCGAGCAGTATTACTGCACCACGCAGGTAAAGGGAGTGTGCTCCACCTGAGGGTGCTCCACCTGATGGCCTGGACCTGGACACTGTCACTGTCCCTTCCCTGAGGAACTCTGCTCTCTCTGCTCCGCAGGCTCCCTCCTGCAGCCCTGCCTTCTCTGTCCTTGCTCCTGTGGGCATCTCAGCATCCCGTTGGCTCAAACCAGGCCAGTCTTTCTTCCTGCTCCCTCCATCTCCTCAGAGCTCCTCTCCATCCTCCTGCTGGCTTTGGGTCTGGTGGAGTCTCCTTCATGCCCCTGTTTTTCCTCCAGGACCAGAAGCTGTTCCAGGAGGATGGGGGCTGGGAGCTGGTGGAAGCCGTGGCTCAGTACTGGTGCAGCAGGATGGTGTGGAGTGAGGAGGAGCAGCTCTACCACATCAGAGGTACCTTTGCCATGAAAATGGCGTGGAAAGCAGCAGTTTGGAGCCACCTGGTCTAGTGGAAGATGTCCCTGCCCATGGTAGGGGTGTGGAACTGGATGAGCTTTAAGGCAACCCAAACCACCCTGGGATTCCATGATTTGAAGGTCCCCTTCAGGATGCCCTCAGGATGAGATGCCTGCATGCAGCAGCCAGAGCTGCATCCCAGGTTGTTCCTGCTCCAGCACCAGCACCTTGTATGTTCTCCCTGAGCATCCCTCTGGGATCCAGGCAGGCAGGAGGGTCCCCTTCCCCCGGAGCCACGGCAGCCCCTGGGTGTGCTGGGGTACAAAGTGTCCCCTCCTGTGCCCGCAGGTGTCATGCCCCCAGATGAGTACCACAGCCAGGTCGATAACTCTGCTTACACCAATGCTGTGGCCCGGCGCAGGTAATGTTTGAATGACACCTGGGAGCATGGCCTGGCTCTCTGCTCTGCCACCTGGCACTCTGCAGGGATGGGAGCAGATCCCAAGGGGATCCTTCCTCCCTCTCCTCACACCCCTCTCCCTGTCACCTCTCTGCAGTCAGAGGAAGAGTGGGGGCTCCCCTGGCTCCTCTGACCTGTTCAGTGCCCACGTGAGGCTGAGAGGGATCTCCATTCACAGCAGGGCTTCTCCCTTGGCATTCCATGGGGTGTCTGTGCTGTTGGCCAGCTGGAGACATCCACAGCCAGGGAAAGAAGCTCCTAGCTCAGTGATGGAAGCTGTTACCCCTGGCTCAATCTCTGCCCCTTGTTCTTCCACAGCAGCTTTTTCTGCAGCTCCTATCCCCTCTCTCCTCTCACCATCACCCATCCCTGACATAAAACCTTGTTCCTCCTTCTTTCCAGCTTAAATTTTGCTACTGACCTGGCTCGGGACCTGCTGCTCCCAGTGCCAGAGGAGTGGGAGGACCGTGCCAGGAAAATCAAAGTGCCCTTTGATGAGGAGAGGAAATACCACCCTGAGTACGATGGCTACAGCCCAGGTGAATGGGGAGGCAGTGGCAGCAGCCTATGGAGATGGCCATGGATCACACTTTTAAACCTAGAAGGATCAGAATTCCAACTGGTTCAGACTTGGGAATGGCAGAAGAAGATTCCCTGCTGTTGCCGCAGTGCAACAAGCTGGGCTAAGGGTGTGTTATAAATGAAAATTTCTCCAGCCAAATTAAAATGAAAAAATAAAATATTTATTTTGCAATTCAAATTCTATCTAGCCAGCCACAAGGAAAGAACACAGCCGAGCCCGGGGTTGGCCCTGGGTGTGCAACAAAGAAGTCAGCCTCAGCAGAGGTTTTCCTCTATGCCCACACTCCTCCATCCTGGCACAAGCAGTTTTTATAGGGAAAATTCTGCCTGAGGCCAGGATTTCAGCAATCAAACTTCTGTTCAGAGTCCCATAGTTTGATGAGATTTCCTTTCTTGGCATCCATGTATCACTTCAGATATATGGCCATCTCCAGAGTGCCACATCCTTTTACTTGTAAATGGGGTTTCAACATACACCAGGTTTTGCCTGGGAGGGTTGGGGGGATTCCTAATACAAACGTGTATACCCCAACAAATATTCAATATCACATATATCATACTAGAAATGGCGATAATTATATCTACTGCACATAACAGGTTTTCCTGCTTCACTGGGTTATTTCTCACCAGTGGACTCAAAATCTTAGGAAATTTGGGAACTGTCTGAGCAGCCCTGTCCCCAGGTGAGCCGGTGAAACAGGCGGATGTGGTCCTGCTGGGGTTCCCACTGATGCATCCCATGAGTGCCGAGGTGCGGAGGAACGACCTGGAGATGTACGAGCCCGTCACCGACCCGGCCGGGCCAGCCATGACCTGGGTGAGGAGAGGGCAGGGCCCAGCCTGGGATTCACCCCTGGGAGGGGGTGCTCCATCCAGGGGACAGTGCAGAGCTGGGGTGTGCGCTGGAAATGTTCCCTCTGGATGGAGGGGTGGGGAGGTGCTGCTGCTCCACTGCGCTGTCACCGGTCCCTCTCTGGCAGAGCATGTTTGCCGTGGGCTGGCTGGAGCTGAAGGAGCTGCAGAGAGCCCAGAGCCAGCTGGAAAAGTGCTTCAGCAACATCACAGAGCCTTTCAAGGTGAGTGGCAGGGCTGCAGATCCCTCCTGCTCCCAGGCAGGTGACGATGGGGTTGGAACCACAGAACTGCCTGGAACATCTGTCTTGGTTTGGAAAGACAGGTGTCTGCTAAGGAAAGTAGGAGCTTCTCCTGAAATGGAAAAAATGTTGAGCCCCTCCTTTCGAATTGTTACAAATTTGAAATTAATGGGGTCTCTCAGGCAAAAATATGGGAATAGGAATAACAGTTCTTTATTAGGGAAGAAAATAATAAGGTAAAGTAAACAATGCAGTGAACCAAAACAACACTGACAGAGTCAGAACACAACCTGACACCCTGTTGGATGGGGTGTTGGCAGCAGTCCAATTGGAATTGTGGCTGCAGTCCTCCTGGAGTGTCAGGTGTGGTTCTGTTGGAGCAGTGATCCTGTAGAAAAGGGTGTAGGCTTCCTCTGAAGAGGCCGTGGAAGAGGCAGCTGTTCCTCTGGGAAATCCAGTGCAGAAAAAGCCGTGCTGGTGTTCCAGATACTCAAGATTATATCCAGTTAGGAATGCTTGGCTCCTCCTTCTGGGCAGAGCATCTGACAATGGGATGTTATAGTTCTTATCAGTCATGCAGTGACATTCAATAGCCCATTATCAGTGGATGTCTCCCCTGAAAGAGGATTGGCTGTGGAAGAGATAAGGAAAACTGCCCACTTAACAGAAGATAACTGCCATACAGATGGGAAATGAATTCGTCTTGCCTCAAAATGTGGGACAGCATCCCAAATCAATTCCTGCGCCATCTCTTTCTTCTGCTGGAGCAGGTCTGGGTGGAGAACTCGGATGGGTCGGGAGCTGTGAACTTCCTGACAGGGATGGGTGGATTCCTGCAGGTCATCCTCTTCGGCTTCACGGGGTTCAGGTGAGACCTGTTGTGTCACTTCTATCTCCCACTTGTCTCTTAAAATGTCCCTGTTTGGCTGGAGCGAAGTTGGGAACAGGTTTGAGGCTCATGACAGGTGACATTTGGGAAGCAAAATGCTGTTCCCTAAGCCTGTTCTCTGCTTCAGCAGCAACATCCTCCTGTCTCCTTTGGATGTGGTGAGGAATCACCTCCTGCAGCCTCACTGTGGCCTCCCTGCTCACATGGGGCTCCAGGAGCCTCCCTGGAGTGAAGCGCTGAGCAGGCATCGCCTCAGCTTTAAAATATCCTGGGAGAACATGGAGCTGTTTGTGTAATTTCAGAGCTGTGGTGGTTTCCACCCTGGAGCCACTGTCTCTTCAGCCTATTCCTGGTTTAATTGAGGCTGGATCAAGTCTTTTCATTCCCAGTGAAATCTTCCAGCCCTAACTATGTGTTTTTACTCCATGTGTGTGGCCAGAGCTGCTGGGAAATCCGCCCCATTCCCTGGTGGATCTGGGTGCTGTACTCCCAGCTGGAAAAGCCACCCATTCCCTGGTGGAGCTGGGTGTGAGTTTCCGCATTCCCAGCTGGAAATCTGGGCTTTGGCCAAGCTGGGAGGTCTCCAGGCACCCAGTGTGTGCCCGGTTGGGCCCCTCGTGGCACAGGCTCAAGCCACAGCTTTGGGGCTCTGGCCAAATTCCAGAGGTGGCGACAACATTGTGCGGCCACGCTCCCGCCTTTCCTGCCTAGGACACGGATCCTGTGCAGTGCTGGGGCTCCCCAGGCCCCCAGACCTGCCTTGAGCCCCCTGCAGCCCTCTCAGCCCTCTGGGGCTGGTGGTGGAGAGCTCTCTTGCGCCAGGATTTGGGCTGGGGACAAGCGGGGCTGTTGTTTTTCCTCACCCAAAGCCAACGCCCACACAGGCAGCTTGGCTTTGGCTCAGGGATGGAGGGAGAGTCGGGATGTTTGTTCCATTGTTTCTGGGGAAGGAGCGCTGCTGGGGATGCAGAGCAGACGGGGTCGACTGATGAGGCAATTAGAAGATGGTTTATTTATTGCAAAATCAGTCTCATGGAAGGCTGAGACCTACGTTCAATGCCATCACATCAGAAGCCGTTTGAATTTTAGTTATAATGTCTTTTATATATTTCTTATCATATCTTATATAGTTCTTGATCAGCTACTTCTACAAAGCTCACTAGCATCTTCATAAACTGACCATTCACTGGCCATCATAGCTAGAAATGATAGCAAACTGTAGCACATTTCTACAAGACATTGCTACATTTTACACAATTCTGGCACAATGTGCTTCTTTTTACCAGTCATAGAACTCTGCAGACGCCTGCTGCTGTATCTTCTGCTTTTTGCCAACTCTATAACAAGTTCTATTGCTAGACTTTAAAATTTTCTACTATCTTGCTTAATGTATTTATTTGCTTCCATGAGGCATATTTCTATCTGCTTAAAACATATTTCTGCTTGAGCTACAAATCTTTATTCTTACTTTGTGTCTGTTTCACTTTTCTGTTCTAAACCTTCAAGCCTTCCCCAAGGCCTTAGGTCTGTATCCATCTCTATCTCTGAGCCTTGGGAGCTCTCTGCCTGCATTTCCCACTGAGCAGCCGTGCTGAGCTTCCAGCCCTCCATCCCACGGGAGTGGGAGCTGAGGGTCACCTGCTCTGAGAGGAGCAGGGCATTCCCCAGGTTCTGCCAGCACAGCTGCTGCTGGAGCCAAGCTCTGAACCAGAGCAGGGAACTGAGCTGTGTTTTTCTAAGTGTGAAATCTGACCTCATGGAAAGCCCAGGCCCCAGCTGTGGAGCTGGAATGGGACAGGAATGTCTTGGGGTGGGCTCTGGAATCACAGCCCCAGTAGCTCCTTAGCAGGTGCTCCATCAGTGTGTTTGGGGTTTGCCCAGAGATCCTTGGATGCACTGAGGACCCTCTCAGGCTCCTCTGGTGATGCCTGGGGAGGTGGCTGCTCCCCAACCCCAAGCTGGGCTCCTCTGTGGCTCCTGCTGTTCCCACCCTGATGTGCTCCTGCCTTTCCAGGATTACGAGGTCCAGCCTCCTCTTTGATCCTGCCTTTCCTGACAATATCACCAAGCTGGAAGTCTCCAGTGTCTCCTACTTGGGCAACAAGCTGGAGGTCACCATCACCAGGGAGGAGATCAGGATGGAAGTGACTGAGACCTCCCAGGACCCTCCGGCGTCTCCCCTGGAAGCTGTGCTGGAGTCGGGACAGTGCTTTCCCTTGTGGGAAGGTGTGGCAGCAGTGCCTGCACCTGCTCCCTGAAATAATTTGGGAAGAAACCATTCCCGTATCTCACACAAAGCTTTTCTGTTGCAGGGCAGAGTGTCTCCTTCCCCACAGCACCTGGATGGATCCAGAGGTCACCCAGCAGGACCCCCTAAAGCCTGGCTGATCCAGGTGTTGCCCACTGGAGCAGCAGGTCCGGGATGTTGGTGGAGTTTACAGTGGGTGGAAAGGCGGTGCCAGGCTGTGCCAGGAGGCCTTTGTCCCCCCAGGACTGTGTGTGTCACCTGTCCTTGTGGCCCCAGGGCTCAGTGGCTGAAGCTGTCACCATGGCTGGAGCTGTCACCTTGTCTGAGCCCCCTGCTCCCCTCCACACATCTCTTCCTTGGTGCAGGAGAGGAAACCAAGCCTGAAAGTGACCATTTCAAACGTGTTTGCTGAACACTCCGGAGTTTTTTATGCTCTCAACATGTTTGTGTTTGTAAGGAAGCCCATTCCTGACTCCAGGATCCTGACTCCAGCTCCTCCAGCATGTCCTGCCCTGGTCTTTGCCTTCCCCCTGTGCTGCTCCGTGGGCTCAAAGGGCTGTGGAGGCTCAGCCACTGCTGTTTCACCAGATGAATGATGTTTTGGTGCTAAATAGTACTCCAAAATATGCAACTGAAAGCCTTTTAACCCTGTGTGGGCAGCACAGAGCATCGTTCCTGTTATTTGGTGTGTAACATCCCCCGTATGTTTTTAAACCCTTATCGACACTATTCCCTCTCTTTTCAAGCAGTTCTAGAGTTAAATCCTTTTTCACTTGTCCTCTGAAGGGCTGCAGGAAGCCTGGACACCAGAGAGCTGTAGAATTATCCCGTCAGATGGTGACAAGGGCAGCATTTTTCCAGGCCTGAGCAGCCTCGGGGCGAGCAAAGAGCTGCTGTGGGTTTGCTCAGGGCGTTTTTGGTGTCCCAGAAATCCCAAGGAATTCCCGTGTGCCTGCACAGGGCGGACACGGTATCCACAGCCCCTGGCTCTGGGCTGCAGAGCATCCTCCCCTCCACAGCCTCCCCGTCCCCGTGCAGAGCAGCCCTGGGTGGGAGCAGGGAATGCCGAGGGCGTTCCCTGCCCCGAGGGGTCTGTCCTGGCCAAGCCAACCCCAGGAATCTCGGCCCGGTTTATAAAAAGCCCCGCGGCTGCTCCATGCCCCGGAGCATCTGGGAGTGCTTAGGGCAGGAGCAGGGACGCTCCCGCTGCCGTGTAATTACTCGGGTCCTGCTCCGGCCTCATCACAGCCGCCAGCCCCTAATTAGCGGCAGCTCTTGGCACGAGAAAGGGACCATGCTGTCCCCAGCCCTGTGCACTGCACCAGGAATGGGATTTGGATGGGGCTGGGATACAGCCCCGCTCTGAGCCAGGGCTAGTTGGCAGAAAAGGGGGTTTCTCCTCAAAAAAGGGGTCCTTTAGCCCCAGAATGAGCTGTCTCCAGCCCAGGCACAGGGAGCAGGGAGCAGCAGGAGTGCTTCCCAGCTTTCCCTCTGTCCTGGCTGGGACTGGCTGGGGATGTCTGTGTTGCTGTAATGAGTTTGCAGGTGTCAGCTCCATTTGGGATGGGGAGGGGACAACCCCATTTGCTTCATCCCACGAGGCCCAGGAGTGTCTCTGCTTCCTCCCCTCCTCACTCCTGGGGGTCCCAGTGGCCCTAAAGGCTGTGGGAACAATGAAGTCTCTTGGCTGCCAGGACCCCCATCAGAGCAAATAATCCCAATTTACGTTTTCCCTTTGGCACCCCCCTGCCCCTTTTCACACGCAGAAACTCACACTGTGTGAAGCGTTTAATGATTTAAATAGTGACCACGGAAGCTGGGGCTTCACACCGGATAATGGGAGGTAAAAAACCCCACGGGATAAACAAAAACAACTGGGGTTGGGGAGTGGGTGGCAGAGAGGGGTGGTGGCCTTTTGGAGGGGCCACCAGTGATGCAGAGGAGGTACCACCAGCCCTTCACCCTGGGTCACTGGTCCTCGTCGTCGCTCCCGCTGAACTGGTAGGTGAAGAAGCCAACAGACTCTTGGGCCAGCTTGGAGAGGTGGATGACACCGGTGACAATGAGGGCACCGAGCAGGAGTGGCAGCACCACGCTGCCTGCCGTGGCCAGGGCGTTGTAGCACCGCGCCTTGGAGCTGAAGTGCCGAGCAGCTTCTACGTCCCCAGACACTTTCCGGTCCCGAGCCTGCAACAGCCGAAGACAGACCCTTCCCTCAGCCCCTTCCCAAAGCCCCCTTCTTGCAGCCCTTTCCCACAGCCTTTCCTGCACCCCCTCCCTGCAGCCTAATCCTGCGCCAGGGCTTTGTCCCTCTTGCAATCCCAAATTTATCCATCCATCCATCCATCCATCCATCCATCCATCCATCCATCCATCCATCCATCCATCCATCCCTCCTAGGCTGTTCCTGTTCCCCTCTGACCCTGCATCCTTTCCCCTTTGTGTTTTCCTTCCTGCTTCATCCAGAACCTCTCTGGCTCCAGCTCTGCCTGTACCCATTTTTCTATCCCAGTCTTGCCCAGCTGGGGCTGGGATTTTCCCTCCTGCTTCCTCCAGAGCTTCTCTGACTCCGGTCCCTGCTTGTCCCCATCTTTCCACAGCTGGAGCTGCTCCTGCCGTGGGGGAGGTGGGATGGCAGAGGCATCTCGGTCCCTATGGCACTTTTTAGGATCAAGCAGCTGCTCCTCGGGTGGTGGGCAGGGGGCTATGGTTATCCACGGCTGTCCCACAACCTCTGGAATCAGCGGCAGGAAAAGCAGGGAGGATTCACCAGCGGCAGGTGGAGAGTGTTGGGATGTGTCCGCCCCAGCCCGCCCGGGATTATCCCAAGCGCTCGGTGCCTCCTCGGGCATCCCTCCCCCGGCGTGTGCGTGGGGAGGGACTCCCGGAGCTCCCGGGCGCTCCGGTGCCGCCGCTCCCGTACCTTGACGGCGAAGGCGAGCGCCACGAAGCCCAGGCAGCAGAAGTTCATGTAGAGGGTGTTGAAGATGGCCCAGACCAGGTGGTCGCGGGGCGCGGGGGCGGCGGGGGGCGGCCCCCGCTTGGGGGGCGGCCGCTCCTCCCGGGGGTACGAGGTGTCCATGGCCATAGAGAGGGGCACCCGCCGCTCCGGCAGCCTCGCGGCAGCGCGGCCGGCCCCCCCTTTTATATCCCTGCTCCGCTAAATATAAACCTGGGAAATTACAGCCCTGAGGGATGTGGTTGTCCCACGGGCTGGGCTGGGAGAAAGGCTGGGATGGCGAGCCCGCGGGTTTTTAATAGCCAGCATTCCTGCCGGGATGAGGAGCGCGGGTGGCTCCGGCGTGACTCCGACGCCGCAGGAGGGTCACTCCAAGGCGGAGCCCAGGACCAGCACGGCGCTGGCTGGCACAGGTACCCCCGACCCCACCCTCCGGGTGTGCTGGGCAGGGCAGAGCCCCCCTCGGCAGCACTTTTGGGCTGCCAGATGGATGAAATGGGAAGTTAATAAAGAACGGTGGAAGAGCCGCATCCATGGGGCTCCCCGGCAGCGGCGGGGGGACACAGGGCTGCCGGGTGGGGGGGCGTGGACAGCCAAAACACGCGGAGGGGCTTTAATTTCCTTTTCCTGCCATCTCCAGTGTGAAAAACACGTTTACTCTCTCTTGAAAACTTATAAAGTTTAATAAAGGATAAGAGGAGATAAGGAACACAGAGTAAAGATTACGGCTGGGTGTGTCTGGGTACTTAGTTAAGAGCACACTTATCTTCGGAGATACTTCTTAAACACTTTTTTCTTATATCAGCCTGTTGTATATTTATAGACTCTTATGTATGGTAAACGTTTTTCTTAAACTAGTTTACGTATTTTAAGAATTGTTTACTATTACTCTTTTTTGGTTTTACTTTTTTAGAGTATGTATATTTTTTCGTTGTGGTTTTGAGGGTTTTTTATTACTTTTAGTTTTGGCTCTGTCTACAGATGGTGAGCGTTGATAGTTGGTATATCTGTAAGCAGTTGGTTTTTTATATGTTTATTAGGTGTTATCTAAGCAGGCATTTTAACGCAAGGACACTCATATTAGCTATTTTACTACTGTGTCTAAGCTTAATTAACAACAAAATTAAAAGCTATATCTTTATAACAAAGTTACTTTAACATTACATTTATAAAATTAATTTTAATATTTGCGAAAAGCTAATATTATAATATATATCTATAACATACAAGATGTTGGGAAGAAACTTCCCTGGGCTTTGAGCTGGAAGCTTCGCGGCAGGATAGAGGTAGCGGGAAGAACAAGAGGAGGAGGAGGAGGAGGAGAAAGTACAAAGATGCCCGAGGACTCTCCGCGACGTCCCGCGGTCAATGAGGTGACAACGAGGGGATTTGGCGGGACAAACTTTATCGGTGGCAGTGGTGACCGACAGGTGTGTCACAGGCGCCACGAAGTGCGTGAGCAGAGCAAAGGGCGGGCATGGGGCCGTCCCCCGCGCCCCGGCCTGACCGCCCCGTCCGTGCGGGGACACCGGCGATGCTGGCAGCGAGGGGACCGGGGTCGCTCCCTTCGCTCCCGCGCCCCGGATGGGTGCATTTTGGAGGCAGGAGGAGCGAGGGGAGGACCACGCGGGTGGGGCCAGGCGGTGCTCAGATGGCCCTGACTTTGGAGAAGAAGATGGCCACGATGACGATGAAGATCACCAAGGTGACGCCGACCACCATGGAGCAGATGATGTTGGCGACCTTGGCGCGGTCGCCGTGACGCCGGGCACCCTCCAGGTCCCCCACCGACTTACAGTCACGGGCCTGGGAGGCAAACGGGGTGTGTGGGGCACGGACTGGGGGGCCAAACCACCCGGGGTGGCCGCGAGGATGTGCTGGGACCCCGGGGACGCGTCACCCAAGGCACGGGTAAGGCCACCGGGCACTGCCCCACGGTCGCGGCACTCGGGGGGGGGGGGCGGCACGACATTGGGAGGTGCCAGGGTGGGAGAGGGGATGTGGGAATCCGAGGGTGGGGAGGCGTTTGGAGGGAGGTGGGCAGGGGGGAGAGGACCGGGATGGTGCCAGGGAGGGCTGGGGGTAGGGGGACGGGATTGGGGATCTCGGGGTGAGGGGAAGGTCCGGGTCGGGTTGCGTCCGGGGGTCCCGGGTCGGGTTGGGTGGGAGGTCCGGATCTGGGGAGGGAGCAGGGGCACGTCGAGGGTCCCGTGCCGGGCTCAGTCAGAGGAGGGAAGTCCTGGGAGGGGCTGGCTGGGGGTCAGTCTGGGTGGGGGTCCCGGGGCCGATCAGGGCTAGATGCGGGCCGTCCCCGGGCCCCCCCTCACCTTGATGGAGAAGACGAGCGGGGGGAAGCCGAAGCAGCCCAGCCCGCCCAGCGCGCACCACAGCAGCACATTGAACACCGACCAGAGCACGTAGTCCCGGGGCTGCGGGTCGGACCGGCGGCCGGGGGCGGCCGCCCCCCATCCGGAGGACTGCAGTGGGATGGACACGTCCGCCTGCCTGAGCTCCATGGCCGGGAATGAACGTCTGGAATGGGAACGGAGCCTTGTCAGGGCGGGGGACCGGCCCCGCACCGCCCCGCAGAGGGAGGGAGGGCATGGCCCTCTGGGACCCCCAGCCCACGCAGTCTGGGGGTGCAGAGCAGTTCTGGGGACACGTGGGGGGCTTAAGGGGTCTTGGGGGAACCCTGAGGACTCCGAGGGAATTTGAGGGGGGGTTGGGGTTGTTGTAAATGATGCAAATTTTATTTTAAAAAATATAACAATCAGGAGTTTGTTCGCCTGTTCCAAGAGGGAGGGGAATTCAATATTTTCTTCGAAGGATTCTGTTCGCTGGGAGAGGGCCGATGATGTGAACATCCACAGATTGAGAGAAGCCAGAAGACCATTAGCGAACATTAGTGAGTATTAGCGACCATTAGCGACCATTAAACCAAGATCACCTCCCTGTCTGGGAAATTAGTCCGTGAGAGAACCGAAAAATAAGGTTTGAAAGCGAAATAGGAGGTCAAATACTAATAACTGTAATTCTTTAGTGTAATTTAAGACCTGTAAACGAGAATTTATTTGTGTTTGTTTGCATAGATATGGGAAACATCAGCTAAGGAGCTATCTGTGGATGGGAGCCTCTTCCATGGCACCTCCTGGCCAGGACAAAGTAACGCCCTGTCACCACAAACATCGTGCTGAAGGTTTTTTTTCTCCTTCCGAGTTTTGCCACAGGTGGGCTGCGAGGAGCTGTCCATGGCAGCCTGGAGTGGTCACAGGCGGGAGGGAGGGAGGCTTTGCCGGTGACTGTTTTGGGCTGGGAAAGGGTCAGTTGCTTGTGTGGGGCTGCCCTTTGCATTTTTCCTGGAAACTTGATAAAACCGGGAGAAGGAGTAAGGGGATCTTGGAGCAATGGCCTTTGTTGGCCTGAGTTCCCATTGGATGTGCTGGGTTTGGGCAGGCCAAGCCTGGGGCCGGCCAGGCAGCAGATTCCATGGAGGAGGAGCCTGTGCAGCGAGGAGCCCATGTTTTCCAGGAAAAAAGCAGAGCAGAAAATGATTCACCAGAGGCTCAGTGCCAGAGATCCTGCAACAAATAACCACTGTGTTTGTGAGTGGGATTTCTGACATCTTACGAGTGTGGTGTCTTGCCAGGAACCCGACGTTCATGGGGAGAGAAAAGACCACGGTTTTGTTGCCATTCTTGTGGGGCCCCAGCCCCGAGGACTGGGCCCTGCCGAGGGCGAGTGCAGAGGGGAAGGGGGAAGCCAGGCCAGCTGCAGAACTGAAGCTCTCCCAGATGGGTTGAGGCCAGGATCTTCCTTGTCCCCGCCGGGCAGGGAGCGGCAGCCCCGAGGCGCAAGGATCGGCCCTGCCACTCCTTCAGCGAGTGACAGGTACCGCTGGGGCTTGGTGTGGCTTCCTGCAGCCAGAGTTCCCTTCCCTGTGGGATGGGGAGAGAATCCAGAGCAGAAATATGAGGAAACTGCTGGGCTGGGATGTGTTTGATAATGAAAGTAAAGGCTGTGCGTGCCAGCAGAGCGAGACGCGGAATGCATTCCCTACTTCCTTGTACTTTCTGGCAGCTGTGCCCAGGAAAACCGCGCTCCAGGCAGCTGGGATGGGGGCTGTGAGGATCCCACAGCAGGATCCCAGCTCACCTGGCTGCAGGGGGAGATGTGGAATCCAGCCCTGGTGGGGCAATGGGGGATGGAGCCACAGAACCCACGGCCCCTTCCCTCTGGGAGCCTCTCCAGTGCTGCTGACCCTGCTCAATCCCATTCCAGCTCATCCTACTCAAGCCCTTTGCACATCCTGCCCCACCAAAGCCACCTTGCCCTAAGCTCTGCTTGCTGCCGGCCCTTCCTGAGGGCTGGTGAGGATGGGGGTGCTCCTGGTGACATCCCAGCAAGGATCATGTTCCACCTTCATCCTCAGCATGACTTTATCCAGGTTCATGATGTCTGGGGTGGCCCCTGAGCATTGTTTCTGTGATGAGGGGCAGTTTCCACCTCCTTGAGGCACATCCCACGTGCTAACATTGTTTCTCATCCTGTCTAGCTGCTGTAGAACAAACCTCAAACCACATCCTCATTATATGAAACCAAGACAGGGCAAAAGTGAAAAAAGCCTTTATTTTCAGGGTTTCTCTGAGCCGGGTGCCCCTTCTAAAAATTGTTTTGAGGCAGCTGGGGTTCCATTTCCAGAGCAAAGCAGCAAGCAAGCCATGGCAGGGTTGGGGGTGCTCAGCTGCTCTGGGGAGCAGAGTCCACTTCAGAACGCTTCCAGCCAGGGCAGCCATCAGCAAGGGCTCCACAAAAGCTCCGAGTGGGGAGGGAAGAGGGGCAGGGAGGGAAGAGGGGCAGGACAGACAGCAGCAGGCGTCGGGTGAGGCACATGGATTGTCATTTTGCAGTTTCGGTGCAGGAAGGCACTCCCCAGGCATGCCCGGCTCCAGCCCCGGGCGGGGAGGGAAGCAGAGCCCGCGGGGCAAGGATGGCACTAAGGGTGGCCATTACCCGTACGGGTGTGAGGAGCCTCTTAAGACCCCGGCGATGGCCAGGGAGACGAATACGATGACGATGATGACGATGAGGATGTTGATCACCAGGGCCGTGATGTTCAGGTACTTGGCCGTGGAGCCGTAGCTCAGGGCCCCGCTGTAGTCACCCAGCACTTTGCGGTCCCTGGACTGGGGACAGGCAGAACCAGGGTCAGAGGGCTGGAGGGGGACACCCCACGTGGCTCAGGGGTGTGGGAGAGGTCCTGGAGGTGCCAGACCGGGCTGAAGCCCCCCAAAACATCGGGGATACCATGAGGTGCCCACTGCCCAACCCAAACCCCTGTCGTCTCCAGAGCTTCCAGCCGGGACTCTGTGGGGTCAGTGGTCCATGAAGGGGGGACTCTGTGGGCTCTGTGGGACACCCTCTGGTCTGGGGTTTGCGGGGTCCAAGGGACACCCCTCAGCTGAGGCTCTGTGGGGTCCATGGGTCACGCTGGCACCGGGAGCTCAGTGGGGTCCACGGGGGCTCTGTGGGGTCCCATGGGGCATCCCGGGCTGGGGGCTCAGTGGGTGTCCCTGAGGTCTGGGACTCAGTGGGGTCCCCGGGGCTGCCCCCACCCCCCGTGTCCCCCCGGGCTCCCCACCTTGACAGAGAAGACGAACGCCAGGAGGCCGAGGCAGCAGAAATTGCCGTACAGGGTGGTGAAGAGGGACCACACCAGGTGGTCCCGGGGCGGCGGCTGCTGCTGCTGCTGTGTCTCCTCCACCACCACCGTCGTGCTCCGGGGCATCTCCTCCATCTTCACCTCTGCCGGCAGCATCTGGTACGGCGGGAGGTCCTGCTGCATGTTGCAGGCTCGGGGACAGTGGCAAAGATACCTGGGGGAGCCGTGTAGTGTTTCGGGAGGTGGAGGCACCGCAGGGCGGGCGCAGCTGTGGCGGTTTCGTTTCCTCGAGATTTAGGACACGGAGCGGGAATAGACCGCCCCTCCGGACGCCCCTGTAAGGGCAGAGGAGACTCCTCCTCGGCAGCGGGAAAACCCTGGGCTCCCTTTCCCTCTCTTTACCCCTCCCTGTCCCTGCTTCCTTCCTTGTCTCAATCTTTACCTGTTCTTTGCCCTCTTTGCTTAACCGTTTTCTTTCCCCTTGATTCCCTGTCCCTTTCCTTGTCACCTTTTTTTGACCCCTATCCTCCTTTCATCCTTTAACCCATTCTTTCCCCCCTTTTTTTTTACCACCTGTGTTGTCCTTTTCTTCCCTTTTCCCCTGTTTTGTGACTTCTTTGCCTGCTTCTTTCTTTGCCCTGCTCTTTCCTTCCCCTTTCTTTTTTTCCTCGTTTTTTCCCCTTTCATTGCCCCCTTCACTACCCCTTTATTATCCCCTTTTTCTTTCCCCTTCTTTCCCACTCTTCCCTCTTTCTCTGTCCCTAATCCCTGTGAAACCCCCAAATCCTGCTAGACCCCCAGGCCCACCTCTGTCTAGCACAAATACAGGGTTGAGGCCAGTTGGTACCACTTTTTGGGGATGCCATTTGGGATCCCCGGAAAGCTCCGTCTGCTGCCGAGGGCTGCACGCCCTTAAAGGAATCCCCCTCTCAGGCTTCTCAGTGTGAGCGTGATTGAACTGTGTTAATGCATTGGAATCCGCAGGATACGCTGTCCTGGAACTTTTTCCTGGCAACTCCGGGAATGTTTCTGATTAAATAAACGGAACAAGTAGGGCCCCGCCCTGGAAATTGGGATTTGCTTTCTGGGAGTCACAGCCCAGGGCATTGGTGCCCTCTAGTTTTCACAGCCTTGAGTGTATTTTTTCCTTTAATAGTGGATTTCTCCCGTGGTTTTGCCCCTAGCCTTGAAATGAACAGGGCTTCTGGCTTTATTAATGTTCAGCTCTTTATTAAAAAGATCAGCTGGGCAGGGGGCTCAACACGGAGCTCACTCCCGCTGTTGTAGCTTTCCCGGCAGCCAAAGGGTGAGAAGGCTGCAGAGTCTGTCCCTGGAGCCTCCGTGGCACACTGGTAGCCAGAGGTGAAGAGGTGTACAGCCTGGATCTGAAGTCCTGACCAGCAGACCGTCCTACTATCTTTTCCTCCTGGCAAGGGGATGAGCCTAGGTCTGTTACCGAGGTCCAGCAGCAGCTATCCTTCTCCTTCCCTCCTGGGAACACCAGGAAGAGTGTCTCGTTTCCGTGTGCCTGCTTCCCACAGCCCCGTCCAGTCCGGTCCTTTGCAGGCTATGGTGACAGGTCAGACAGACCAGGGACGTGGTTCCCTTTTCCCCAACCAGCGCACCCATCCAGCCCCTTCCACTGTGCCCAGTCTTCCATTAAGGGGTGTTCTCATCCCCAAAACCCCCTCCCATAATTCCACTGGTACCCCTATTTTGCATCCCATTCCTAGAATGGCAGTGTGGGTAGAGGGTGTAGGTGATTCCCAGGAGCAATTAGCTAATTAACATTTCAATATCAGTACCTAGCTCAAGCCAGCAGTGTCCCAGTATTACCATGGGAACCAGCAAGGCACTTTTGTTCATAACACCTGGGACTCGCAGCGAGTGTGAATCGGGGGGTCGCAGCCCCCATGGGGTCCCCGCAACCAGCAGGGGGATGCTCCCAGGGGTGCCCGCACTCATCTTCCCGGGACGATCCCGGGGATCCCGCTCCTGATCCCAGGGATCCCCGTGGGGTCCGTGCCTGCGGTTAGCGCCCCCCTGCGGACCGGGCCGGGCGCTGCAGCCCCGCCGCTGCCGGCCGGGAACGTACCATCCTCCGCCGTGGGGGGGAGAGATCGGGGGTCCGCCCCGCCGAGGCCCGCGTCACCAATCCCTTTGGCCCCTCCGTCCCCTCGGCCCGAATACCCCGTTCGGTTCCGCCTCGCCGCCGCCCCGCTCTCCCGCCGCGCAGGGCCGGGGGCAGGGCGGAGGCCGCGGCTCCCCCCCGCGCCCCGCATGGCCGCGCCCGCGGCGCCCCGCGGGGATGCCGGACCGTTGGCATGGAGACGCGCGGCGCCTCGGCAGGCCCCGCCCCCGGGGCGCGCCCATTGGCGGAGAGCCCGCGGCGGGCGCGCTGCGATTGGCTGGCGGGGCCGTCGCTCCCCGGCGGGGGCGTGGCCGCGCGCAGCGCCCGCTCATTCATTCCCCCCGCGGGCGCGGCGCGGGGGGGCGATGCACCGGCGGGCCCGGGGCCGCCGAGCCCCGCACCGAGCCCCGGCCCCACGAGCCGCAGCCGCCCCGCGGCCGGCCCGGAGCGCGCGGGCTGGACGGGCGGGGGGCCCCATGGGCCGGGGTTAGCCCGGCGGCGGCGGCGGTGGTGGTGGCGGCGGCGGCGGCGATGCGGGCGGCAGGATGCCGCGGCTCCCGGTGAAGAAGCTCCGGAAGCAGCTGAAGCTGCTGCTGCTGCTGGCGCTGCTCACCTCGGCCGCCTGGTTCACCTACCTGCACATCAGCCTGGTGCGCCAGGGCCGCGCCCTGCGCCTTCCCTTCGCCTACGGCAAAGGTAACGGGGCGGGGGGGTGTCCCCGGCGGCGCTCGGAGCGGGGCCCCGGGGGCCTTCGGGGGTCTTTAATGGGTGGTGGGTCTCCTCCGCCACTCCGGGGTACCGAAGCATCTGGGGTTTGGGGATCCCCAGGGTGTGCCGGGGCTCTCCCCCGCACTGTGCTCTCAGAGCACCTGGGGTTTGGGGGTCCCCGAGGGGTTTGAGGGTCCCCCCGCCACGCTGCGGACCCGGAGCCCCCCCCCTTTTTCAGCGCTGGGTTCTGTCCCGCGTCACCCGCGTGGGTTTGGCGCGAGCGGGACCCCTCCGTGGGCTCCGCGCCCCGGCGTCGGACCGTCGGCAGGAGGGGACACCCAGGAGGGTCCCCAAACCGGCCGGGGCGTTCATCGCCCCCCTGGAGCCGCTCCGTCCTCATTTTTCCACCCGCTGCCTTGGCTGAGATGACAAAGAGGCCATTTATAGGCGCTCGCCGCTGCTGGAAGGGACAATCTCTTCTTTCCCATCCCTTCCCAACGTTCTCATCCTTTCCCAACCCTCCCCATCCCAACACTTTCTCAGCCTGTACTTCTCTACTGTAAAGAAAACAAAATTCCTTTCTTCTCCCTCCCTCCCTCGGATAGCGGCTGGGATGGATTGCGGGATGCTCCGGAGGGACAGGTGCCCTGAGGCTCGGTTCGTGTCCAGTCGCTCCCGGTTTTCCCGTGGCAGATTTCCCTGGGTTGCCCGGGGACACACAAAGCCACTCGGAATATTTGCCGGGTGAAACTCGAGCCGTGGCGTTCTCGCTGGGACCGACCTCGCCCAGCGCGTTTTGTCCTAAAAAATGAGGAGGGGTCGGGATTCAGCGCCCGTGGAGGGAGGGAAAGGCTTTCCCGAGGGGGTCGGAGCGGTGCCGGAGGTTGGCAAAGCCTCTCGGCTGGAAAACCCAAAGTTTCCGAGCGGAGCAGCAGCATGATCCTGCAAATTTTTGGGCCTTATGGTAAAATCGGGGTAACGCGAATGAGCGAGACAGGAAATGAGGCTGCTGGGGCGGGGGCGCCGGGGGCTGCCGGTTCCCTGCGGGATCCTCCGTGCTGGGAAAGCCGCAGGGTCTGCCCGGTGTTCCCGGGGGGGTTTTCCCTGTGTTCCCACCATCATCCCGAGGCGCTTCCCCCTGGCCCCGCCGCTGTCCCGGTGTTCGGGACGGCCATGTCTGGCCTCGGGCAGGGGGAAAACGGCTTGGGATCGCTGTCCCCATCCCTGGGAATATCATCGGGGTCCCCGCGGGTGTTGGGGGGGGTGAGCCGTGTCTTCCTGCGGGGAGGATGCACAGGGAGGGATGTTCCCAGGTGCTGAGCCCTCCTGCATCCTAGCTGGCTCCTCGGGATGCTCCGGGGGGAAGGCAGAGGTTTTTCTGTGGAAAGGAGGGGCTGCAATGGCTGCAAACTGGGAATGAGGGGAGCTGGGCTTTGGTGGAGGTGGGAGGTGGGAAGAGACATGGGAAAGTACATTGGGTGGGGGAAATGTTGCCCCTTGCCGTGGGGAACACGGGCACCTTCCCTGGCTGAGGTGTGGAGAGGTGGGAGATTCTCCAGGGGAAGCTGGATCCAGCTGGGATGCTCCTTGCACAGGGATTTTCCAGTGGGCACCTAAAGCCCAGGTGAAGGTGTGGGAAAGGCAGAGTTTAGGTCCCACCGGGCCTTTTTGGACGCGAGGTGGTGGAATGAGGTTGGGTGGAGGGCGGGGAAGGGTTTGGCCATGCACAGATGGACCCTCATCCAGCTGCTGCCAGAGTGGGAGAGGCAGGGAGTGTTTTAGATGGAATGGAGTGGAAAAAAAAAAACCAAAACAAACGAAAAAAAACCCCAATAGATCATAGGAAATAAACTGTGTTAAGGAAAAGACTTGTCGCAAGGGTCTGGGGGAAGAGCATCACCCCAAGGGTCTGTGCACCAAAAGGAGTTTGGAGATGATTTTTGGATTTGGCCACCGTGAGCGAGGACCTGTCTGTCTGTGCCAAGGGTGCTGCCCGGTTAATTAACAAGAAAATAGGTTAATTACTCATTAAACAGGATGTCAGTGAGCAGCTGGACGCTCTGGAGGCTGCAGGTGCAGGTCATGAGGCTTTTAGGTAGTTTTGGGGGCTGTAAAGTGGGGAAGACCCAGCCAGGTGGGGTTGGGAGCACAGTGGGATTATCCCAGGGCTCCCTGTGTCCCCTTGCCCTTGGAGCATCCAGGGGCTGGGCTGGGAGCTGTGCTGGTCCCTGATAAAACACCCCCTCCTCTTCCTCATCTTCTCCAAGTAGATAATTACCCTTCTCTGCCTAATTGAACACACGGATTCCTCACTGGAAATAATGAGGCCATTGCGGTGCTCTCCCAGCTGGAAACGGGGATGCGCCAGGTGGGAAGGGAAAGGATGAAAAGGGAAAAAAGAACTGGGAAAAAATGTTAATAAAGCCCTAAAGGGGCTCGCTGTAGGGCTGTGGGGTTTGGGATTTAGCATGGAGTGAGGTTTTGGGGGATTGGGGGAGCATGGGATGGGTGCTCACGGGTGCTAAAGGCAGTTCAGGGATGAAATGGGGCTCTGTCTGCCTGCTGCACATGGCAAGGCCTGGGGCACCCCTGTGCCATGGTCCAGAGGGCTCCCAAACTCCCTGATCCCGAGGCAGTGGTGGGATGGGTGCTCTGTGTCCTGTCCTTGGCTGCTCTCCCCCCAGGGACCAGTCTTTGGGGAGAGCAGGAGGGAGAAGGTTTGGGATAATGTGTCCCTTCTGGGATCCATCTCTGCAGATCCTTTGATCTGAATTGGGAGCCTGGGATGCTGCAGCCTCCTGTGGGGCTCATCCTTTTTGTCGGGGATGCAGGGAGGGAAGGGGATGAGGAGAGCCCTTTGAAGATGAAGGGCAGTGGGATTTGAGACTGGGCTGGGAGCTGCTTTTTCTTCTGCTGGCATCACCCCATTCTCCTATCCCTGCTGGGCAAGGCTGGTTTCCCTGGATGGACCCACGTGGGGTCCCAGTGCCAGGGAAAGCAAGTCCCATCCCTGCTGCTGAAAGCAAAGTTTGGAGCTGGAGGAATGGGCCGGTTTGGGTGTCACTGAGCTCCTTTTTCCACATGGGAATCCCTTCCCAGACTGCCCCAGGCTCCATTCCCTGCTCCTCTGAGGTGCCCAATGGGAAAAATTTGGCAACTGCCTGGTTTGGGTTTTTCAAGGGCAAAAATGTGGCTCTTCAGAGGCACGAGTGGCTTTGAGCCACCCCAGAGTGGCACCTGCCCCCAGCCTGGCTGTGACCCAGCCCCCTTGGCACCCAGAGGGTCCCCAAAACTGTCCCTGGGAAGCCAGGGGAGGTGAGGGATGGCTTTTCCCAAGCACCAGGAGCTCTTTGCATTGGTGTTTGAAATCTTTATCCCTCCCAGTACTGCCCTGGATCTCCCCTCTGTCCCTTCCCTGTGCCTGCAGCTGGGGCTCTCCAGAGCTGCTCCATGGGAAGGGCTGAGCAGCCCCCTGGGGTGTCAGTGGCCTCGGCACTGGCAGGACACAGGGATTTTGGCTGGGTGAGGAGCCAGGTGGGAGCCAGCTGCTGGAAGAGGCTGGGAAGCTGGATCTGGGATGGTGACCCCACAGGCAATGTGGACTTCAGAGGCTGGAACGTTTCTGGGGTGAAATGCACCCTAAAATTCCCAGCATTTCACGGTGATCTTCTCCAGAGGTCGCATCCCAGGAAGCCAAATCTTTGTGCTGAGGGCTGTGGGTTGAGCATCATCCCTGTTGGGATGGAGCAGGGTCTCGTGGGGGCTGCTCCAGCTCTCTTTGATGCTGGAGCAGGTGGGACTGAGGGGCATTGGATGCACAGCGAGGGAAATGGGGGAGGTCTGGGAGCTGTCCAATCCCCAGGAGGGATTTCAGATGCTGATTGTGAGCATGGAGGTGTCAGAGCTGCCTCTCCTGGTGGGTGTTTGTCAGCTGGAGTGGTCTTATGGCAGCTCCATCGCCAGCCACAGCGATTCCGCATCGATTTCCATGGCTCCAGCTGAGAGGGCTGCCATGGAGTGGGGGAAAACAGCAGCAAAGGAATGGAGGAGGCAGCAAAAATCCCCCTCGCTCCTTCAGTTCCCTCGGCAAGGCAGTGACAGGTGCCAGCAGGCAGCAGTGCCCGAGGGAGG